TATATATGTATTAATTCTATTTATATCTATTTTTATTAGTAAGTTATTTTATGTTTTGTGTTGTTCCTCTTTCTCTCTCTTAGATAAGACGTATAATGACACAATTTTCTATTAAATTTTTATTGCTTTTAAACTGTACAGTCGTTGACCGTATCTTACGAACGGCTTACTTGCTAGAAACACGTGCTTTTGTGTGCGTCAGCACAAATAAAAAATTGTTGCGAGAGGCTAGGCCATTCGACAAAGTGGCCTTCATTAAAACTTTATACAGCTTTATGGAGTCGACTAACACTAGAGACTGTTTTGCATGCAGTAGTGAACATGTTGCGACTGTGCAACGAAAAGCAAGCCTATATAGTCTATGTAGATTGCGAGATATGAAAATCCGGGATTATCAAACGCTTTTCCTGCCAAGCATGAAAGACGCGACGATTTAATCACGCGCGCAACAAAAAGCAAGACGCTATGCGAAGTATCTTCTCTTCGACTTTCTTCAAGCTGTGATTTTCAAGGCGCACTTCCGATAGCGTCCGCACACACGCGCGAAAACTTTTAACGAAGTTTGCGAAACAGCTGATTGATTTTCTCTTAACTCGATCTCGAGTTATCTTCGGAAACGTGCGACGCATCTCGAGCATCGCTTCGGAGATTGATCGGATAGAGTATATAATGGCCTTTTATCCTCAAAGATAACTATAATAATAAACTGAAATATAATTGAAAAAGATATGCAGATAATGTAAATTATATTTTTAAGTGATTCGGGTCTTATTATTACATGGTATAATTTTTGGAAATAAATATATCTTCTTGTTATATATCTCAACTGTGATAAAAAAGTCATTGGTTCTGAGAAAAGTTGAGGCATTTTTACAAAATTTGGAATTTAAAAGAAGATCATTGAGCGTGAACAGTAGTTATCTTTCAGGGTAGAATGATGACTGCGGTAATCCACAACCGTGTGATTTGGGACTTCTCTTTGAAGAATATGCAGATTATCTTCTGGCGCAGAATAATTCTTTCTTCGTCACGGATAGTTTGCTTTTCTCGTTTTTTAATTGATTCTATTAATTCGTCTTTCAAATAAATTAGATTTCTCATACCGACGCTTCTTTCCGCGGAATGTTTCGAATAAACGGCGACTTCTGGCAATTCCTCACAAAAGATTTCTCGTTACGTTCGACAGGACAATGCTCTTCTCGAGCTGTGCCGACTTCTAGCAACTTTTGAATCCGTCGCGATTTTCTACCGAATTTTCTTAGAGGAAAGCACGCGAGCTCGCTACTACTCGGATAGACTTTGTCATCCTTCACTGCCTTGTATTCTCAGTCCCACGCACACTCTTAGCATTTTCACGGATTGTGACTTATCCTCGACGGAAGCAACGCATACCTTCCACGCAATCCTCTTTTCCGGAGGCAGGGAAGCCAAGGTATAAGGCATGTCTGCATCTTAAGACGGCGGAAAAAATTCCAAAGAATTCGATAACTATCCATAACCAAGACTGTGATGAAAAATTTTTGTTTTATTTTGTGAGCGCCGACATTGAATCTCGATGTAGAATTTCGTGAAATGGCAAAGTGACATTCTTTTTACGTAATTATCTATTAAAAATTTATCTTATATTTTTCCCTTTTAAACTTGTACTTTATATTTTCTTTACTTTATACCGTTTTACTTTATTCCGTTGAAAACTATATCACCGTTATACCCAGATGCACGTATGGAAATAGACACTTTCGTTAGAAAAAATATATACGTGTATAAAACGTTAACCCCTGAAGTCTTTTTTTCATCATATTGGAATAGCTACATTGGATTTCCTCTTGGACCTTTATCCGCTTTTCTCATTCCGCTGTGTAACTCTTACACGAATCCTATCTCCGTATTTTTCTTCGCCCTTGACGGTTCCTTACTGAGCTCTCGGAAACAACCCCTGTCAGGTTTTTATACCGTTACAAAATAACCAAGCTTAGATTTTGCTGGTGAATATCTTTCTCTTCTAATATTTTCCGATATAGTCACATGTGCATTGACATTGAACCTATTTCTAGTTTTATCTGTCCGATTCGGTTAGGTTTTTATGTGATGTCTATTTAAATGTTTAAACATCTTAAATATATCATTTGATTGTGGCTTATACACATAAAATATTTCAAGACCCCAAGATTATATATTTTAACGATATAGATATTGAAAATCAATTTGAGAGCAAGTAATGTATTTAAATGCATTTGTGCCTCTCTAGAGAAAATGCTTTACTTTTTGCTATTTTAAATGAGAGTAAAAGTTGATTAGTACACTGCGTTATAATTGAATAAAATATCTACTAAATAAAAGTTGTGTCTATGCGCTAAACGAGAATGACGATTGCTTATCTATTGATATCTCCAACAAACGTTTTGAAAATGCGTTCGGTCGTGATTCGTAGGAAATACTATTCTCCTAGAATGACGAAAGCCATCAAAGGCTAATGGATTCGGCCCGGGATAATTCCGATCCATTATCTCGCTTGTAGAGCGAGAACCGCCCCGTTGGCGCGGTTCAATCCATCCTTTTGTTTCTTTTCGCGTCCTGTGTTGAACTCACTCTTCGCTTTTCCCATTCTTTTCCTTTATCCAATTGTCCTCGATCTTTGATTCATTTAAGTAATTTCACATCATTCTGTATGGTTACCGCGTGCAAAATTTTTAATAATATCAAAAAGTTTGAAATTATATAATTATTATCGTTATACATATGACGTTATAAAAAACAATGAAGGACGCAGTTGTCAGATTTTTATGGAAATAAGATTGATGTTAAGAAATATTGATAATTATATTTTTTCGTGACACAATAAAATTTAATTCAAATTATAGCCATAAAATGAATGCATTAAAAAGATAATATTGTTTGTGTTTCAGGCTTTGGCCAGGTTACGCCAGTGCGCATAATAATCTTGGAACTCTCACAATAGATGATCAAGCGGAGTATCATTTTCTAGCAGCTATTAATGCTCAACCTGGTCACGTAAATGCTCATTATAATCTTGGACGATTGTACAGGTCAGTGAATAAATATCTTCTTCCAGAGAATGAGTACATTGTAATGCTGCATAAAGAATATCAATTATTAACATATTAATAGTTGATAATCAATTATTTCATCGGTATGACGCAATGAATCGCATTACGCCAACTACTTATTAGAAACTGTTGGTCGTTTCCACGTAATAAAAATATCTCCCATCTTCTAGTTCACCATTTTATCAACGGGTCATCGACCTAGAGCGAGCAGCGTTTCCAACAGTAAATTTAGCTTGAGCTGTAATTCCGGTAGCATGGTTAAAATTAAAGTTTAATTAACGCCTTCCTACTTGATAAATTAAAGTTTAATTAAGGGTAGAAGTGGGACACACGCGGTCGACCGTTGCGTAAATGTAACAATTTTTCGCTCATTGTGCGTAAATCGTGAAAAACAAGCAATATCTCATTTAATTCTCTTTCTCTTTTTTCCAAAGATTTTTATTTGAAAATTATACATATTCGATGACATATTTTTTATTAAAAATGTCTGTGTAACATTGCCAAATTATACTTTTTCTTTATAATGCTTAATTCAATAATCAATTTTAATTATTAAATATTTAACGCAATAGCATTTTGCGCCAATTTATATAAATATAATTATAATAATATATAATATCAATATGATATTTGCATGATATTATTATTACACAAGTACATTTGAAACAACGACGCATTTTAGCTGAGTCTATTTTTAATATAATTTAACGTATAATGCAACGCGTGGCATATTTACTATATAATTGATTTTACGTGATGCACATTAGCGCTTGCGCATTAAATAAATTACGCAATGGCTCAAATACGTGGCGGAAAGTGATGTTAATGTATATTGCGTGTTACGCATGAAAAATATACTGTGCCCATATGCCATGCACTATAATAAGGTCATTGTCCGTTTAAAATAGAATGACCGCATTTATGGATAGTTCATACGATGCATACCTTTGTTTCAATTTTCTTTATAATTACACAGCCGCGCATTATTATCAGAAATGCTATCGCATTATAAGAAAATATAAAAATTGTTATTCTACAACATGTGGAGTTAATTTCTTAATACTTATTAATTCTACTTTTCAAATCTCATTAATATTATGCAACATAACGTTATTATTTATATAGAATAATGGATTTAAACCAGTTTTATACTCGTTATTTAACGCGCTATTTAATGTCAGTTAAAAGGAATGAAAAATAAAGATTAAAATTTCACAATATATTATATTATATATTATACGATACGTCTCTCTCTCGGAATTCAAAAATGAATTGGGATGTAGAAATTAAAGACAAATAATGTAAAATATAATATAATAAAATAAAAAATAAATTTGTAAAAGAAAACGTATCTCTCTAAACTTTAAGTTAGATCTAGGATATACCCTATGCGCTGATGTGTATCTATATAAATTCTCTTTCATCTGTTAGTATTTCCTCTTTCGATCACATGAAAATGTCGATAGAGCAATATTGGTAAAAAGCATCGCTCCAGCTGCAGGCGTAAACAGTAAAAACGGCATTGTCGATCGGCATTATTGGCGTCGCCATTCTCTGACAATTACCGGGTCTTTTGTCGGGCGCAAAGTCGATTACATGAAAGCGCACGACTATAATTCAACCGGACGCGTTCGCGAAATTGCCGTTCAATTTGTACGGGAATGCCAAATTTACTCGCGGTAACTTGTCCGTCGCTCTTTTTAACGCCGGACCTTTTTACCAGGCTATCAACCTACTTCGTAACGTGTAGCATTTTCATCGCATTTATTCGCACAGTAGGGTAAGCTGAACAAGAAATACATTGCCACAATGTTGTTTTAGCGAGATGCATAAGCAATGAGACGCGCGATCGGTATTGAATGATTAAATAATATTGTTTGAACGCGCCATGCATTAAATTTGCAATTGACGCTAATTAGAATTGAATTGCTGGTTACTGATTAAAAATAATAAATGATAATTATACGTTATACTCATTAATTATATTTTATCGAAGTCTTCTTTCTCTATATACAGATATGATTACTGTAGTCTTTATTTATATAAAATATATGTTAGAAGTTTTGCAGTTATTTTGTCTGCTATAACGTTATTTACCCGGTGTTTTGTAAACAACGATTATAATTTTTATTAATTAATTATAAAAAAGTTAAATTGATTAATATGTGACAATTGTGTCATATATTATATGTATGTATACTGAGAGTTACATATATTGATCGTCTTACATAGTAATGCTTGGTTTACGTAAGATATTTGTAGTTACAATAGTAAAATCTTGCTTTCAGAAGAACAAATCGAACTGAACAGTGCATCGAGATGTTGAGGCGATGCGTGTCACTGGATCCGGCGTATGCGCCGGCATTTAGAGTTTTAGCGAGGATCGCCACCGGTCCTGCAACAGGCGAACTCCTGAGGCATGTAATTCATCTTCAGCCACGAAACCCGGACGCTCTCACTGAGTATGCTTACTGGTTGTACAAGAACGGTGAGTTTTATTCAAGGAAATAAGCTTAAAGCAGCAAACGGCAAACTTTCAAATCCCTGATAGAGGAGAAACGATGCTTGTCACCGAAGGTAGAATAATCTCGCCGGAGTTGTCCGCTACGAAAAGCGGCACGCATATGATCGAAACTTTATATTTACATACGCGGGAAACTTGCTTCGTCTCTTTTAGGTAAATGGCTGCCCTCGCTCAAGTACTATTTCAATGCCATGGAGATTTTCCCGTCGCATAAACCGTCGCTCATCGGTACACTCAGGATTCTGAGGTCGCGAGGTCAGTGGTCCAGGGTACACCAGCTCATCATCAGGTGAGCATTTGCGAGCTACGTGCGTGAATGCATTTCCGGACATATCTAGTCACTATTGCAGCAGCAGTAGCAGCTTCCAAAAGGATTAAAGAGCATATTTCATAAAGTTACCGTGAGAGTAGCATCATATGTTGGATTTTCCACGCGCATTTAATCGCTCATGCGAAAACATTAGAATAAGCGGAAGCGTTACACACCAAGTGTATTCCATAGAATTATATTTAAGATAGTATCAAATTTACATTCCCTCCCGGAGAGAGAATAGTTTCGAGCGCGCAACGTAATGTTCAAATTCGTAATTTTCTCCGGTACAAACGCGATACTGTGTGTACAAACACGGTCTCACCCGTGCGTGTTGCAAATTCCGTGCATGCGGCGAAGCGTGGTATCGTCGCGCGGAAATCCTTTCAATTTCAGATGGGCTTTGCAGCGTTGCGTGGGTTGAGCGGCGGGCTTATTCGCGCGGCAAGTACTCGGTACGTTAGCGCACACGTCGATTCGCAATCAGCGAATTCAATTTTTTTTTTTCCGGCGAGCTCTCCGGACTCGATCTTCGTTCCGCGCGAGTTGATTAAAAATTCCACGCAATTTTCGTATTTTATGCGAAATATATATCGAAGAATAAGCTAAAAAAAAAAAAGTGAAAAAAAAAAAAACCAGATTCAGCGCTGTCTATGCGAGACGATGCGATCGTTTTGTCTGAGTGTCGGGAATCCGGTCGTTTATGTACGCGCCGTGTGTCTACGTACACACGTAGATTATACGATAACGGGCGCGCAAGTGGTGGATCCTCGTGTTTTCGCTGCGACCGCCACCGCACCACCCCTCCGTCACCTATTTTTCCACCCTCGCACTGTAATCCTCCCGCGCCCCGCTTATGTGTGTGTTTGTGTGTGCAAATAGCGCCTATAAAACACGCACAGTAAATTTGCCTGCGACGATTCGCGCTGTTTTTGTAGACGGCTCTCTCTTTCTCTCTCGATTTTTCTTTCTCTCTCTCTCTCTCTCAACTGGTTACTAGCAACGAAGAGCCGCATACCAGCGGCGTACTGGCGTCGTCCGAGCGTATACGAGTTTTGTAGGGTCAGGGGGAGGTGTGGCTCGGGGGATGTAGGAGCAACGGGGCGAAAGAGGGGTTAAATTTTGGAGAAACAACGTTCGGAGAGGCGCCGGCGGATAGGCAGTCGAGCAACAAATTTCTCTCGCTCTTTCTCTCTCTCTCTCTCTCTATCTATGTCTGTTGCTACCACACGTGAAATTTCAATATGCATCGTTTGACAGATGTGGCGCATCGCCCGGATTTTAAATGCAAATATAAATTCCGCAATCCGTAACGACTTGGTGGAACGTAGAGTGTATAGCTATGTATAGTGACCAAAGGAAAACGGAAAAAGTGTCTAAACTGCCACTTTATACAAAATGAAAGTAGATATACAACAATATTAATGATTGTTACTACATCCACATGTAGACTTGTAAATGCTAAGTTATGCATACACAAATAACGTTTAATGTTATTTTCCAATAGAATTAATTCGGCGTTGATGAGGCAGCTACCTTAATAGGGGTTTCCAAAAATGGTCGGACAAACATCGCATTTATATTTTTATGTATTTCTATGCTATTTATCATATTAAATTGTTTCATTCACCGTGCATCTTATGCGGATGTGTGTATTTAACTTATTTATTGTTTGCGAAAAATATAAATTGTTTGCTCTGGGACAAATGCGGAATTTATATTTGTTATTCGACATGTATTGAATCGAGGTGGTACACATTGCATACAGAAGAATCATATTATTCAACATATTCTTGTTCGCCAATAAACGTGCGAGAAGTTTGAAAGGTATTGTTCAATCCAACGTCCGCAAACAGGCAGTAGCGACCTTGTTTGATTATATTATTTTATATCGTGACATTGTTAATGTGACGGAGACTGTTCTGAGCACTTTCTATAGCAAAGGGGGTTGCTTCACGTTTCATTTATTTAAAGCCAAGCCGAAGCGGGCACCCGCCATTTCCACTTTCCACTCGGTTGGCGATGGTCGGATTAATTTCTCATAAATCGCTCGCGGTTTTCGTTGATTGGGTCACAGTTTCATTTGTGCCTCGCTCCGGGACACGCCGTTTCAGATCTAAAGTAATTAAGTGTCGCGATCGGCATGTAGCTCGATATCGGATATCTCGACCACGTCCGCTTTTATAGACGTACAATATGATATTGACACTGTCGAGGAAACTATCGACTGGACATATGACATATTACGATACCATTTCAGGAAAGTTGTTCTCTCTGAGAACTAGCTTAAAAAACAATAGAAGCATTATATCTTTTATCGAATACTTTACGTAAGAGAGTATATTTTTGAACATTTCTTTATAATGTATTCAAACAGAGGCAGATCACAAGCATATCGATCAGAATTGTTATTTGTGAAGTATTGTTTTATTTGCATTATTTGCGACTAATTAAAATTGTATTTGATGATCAATTCAATTGAGTCGTTGTATGATAAAACAGAAAATGTAATAAAAAAGACGCATATAACATATATGATTTATAACAGCAATAAAAGATTTAAAGAAATTTTTTTTAGAATGAAATTATATTTAGCATACATATATATATATATATATTTATGAAATATATATATATATATATGCTACTCTAAGCTCGATTAATCATCGAGACGTATCCTAGTTTCTTGCGGAGAAGTATTTGTATCTAGAATGAACATTATAAAAAAATGGGAAATAAACTTGTGTGTGTGCCGGTTTTTATACTTGTTTCTTTTTGCTATTATATCTCCATATTATATCTTTATATTATCCATTTTTATGAAATATTTTGAGACGAAAGATACATATTAAAATACAAAAAGAATTAAAGTATATTTAATTATTCTTGCGTTTAATAAATCTATAACGCGCGTTAAGCATCGCGTTACTCGTTAAATAAATGAACATTTTATTTATATGTAAAAATTATTTTGGTTGGTAATGAGATTGACTAATAAATAAATATGCATTAATGAATATAATAAACGTCACGTTATTTTATAATTATTTGTTTTAAATGCAATCAATATCTTTTCATAGTCGAATTAATTGCGGCGAACTCAATTAAAATTGTATTTGTTATCCAATAGAGAGGAATAAAGCTCGCCGAAAATATCACCGATTATCATTATGTTTTAGAAGCATATCGCGTTCTCTCTACACTAAAATCGTTTGATCATTGCATATGAAATTGTTTGCTATAACTGTTTTCTGTCCAATGAATTTTCATTTTATTTAAAGAATCATACAAATATGTCCAATTTCCAAAACATTGGCTAAATTATTGCAAAATGCAGAGTCATACGCAACGAGCGTCGAAAGTATAGTTCAAATGAAAATAAATTTGAAATATGGTCTCGTTTTATCTCGTTTAAATTTGCATATTTGTCTATCATTAAATCATACCAATTTCAATAATTTTAAAATTGAGCGTAATGTACTAATTGAAATAAATATTCGCACATTAATTAGCGTTGAAAAATTGTAAAACTTTTAATATATACATCGAGAGACATCGCATAACTGTACAATTGCCGCTAGAATAAAATAAATACATCGTACTCAACGCGCGAATCAACCGTCTAGAAAATAATATCTAGAATAAAGATCAACGTGAAAGTCGATCGAATGGCTGGCGCGGTGGAAATGCGTCAAACTCTCATACCCTCTCACTCGCACTTTTTCCCCTATCGGACATATAAATTTAGAGAAAAGCCACTCTACGGGGGATAATGCCACGGATGCGATAACGTCGTCGCCGTTGCGTTGCATTAAGCGCTCGACGAGCTGATAAATCGAGAATTTATCGACGCTACCTGCGCTCCTGTAGATTTGACCAATGAAATGGAACGCGCGCGTTTGAGTAAATATTTTTTTTTTCTCTGAAATTTAACACACTCACGATAAGGGTAGAATGAAAGTGACGGTCTGCGCCGGCGATCGCGAATTGCCATGATACATCGTCACGATCTGCAGTAAACGACCTGGTAGCGGCGATCTCGCCCGCCTCGCAACAACCTGCAACAACAGTCCGGACGTGTCGGAATACGAGGAAGAAATGCACATGTGCCGCAATAATTTTGAATCAAACTTTGCCGCTATCGTTTCCACCCACGAGGCAGGATGCGATATTACACTGGCGTTTCGACTTGCGCGCGACCGCTCCCGACACGGCCCGACACGGTCTCTATCTTCCGTTGTAAATAGCGATTTTATAATTCATGGAGCGCCGTGTTTCATCCGGTCTATCGGCGAACCACCAAACGGCCGATATGACCTGTAGTAGCCGCGCGTTACCACTTCGTTACAACCACAGTTGTGAGCTAGAGTTTATTTCACGCAAATGTTCGCTCGAAGTACCAAGGTTTTAACAATGCTCACCGCAAAACTTTAATCTCTAAATCCTTTGGTGAAATTACAAGCGGCATGTGTACGGCGATATATAGACGTCGACGCAAAAGTATCATCTCCATTTTTGCTTGTAACAATGGAGGGAGAAATATACAAGATACATATTTCCATATTTGTAACATCGAAATTGAATTTATTAAAATTCAATCATCAAAAATTGAATTTATTAAAATTTTATATCCGGTTTTAATCTTTCAACATCGATACCGCTTCTTGATTTTTTTACTAGTCGATATCAAACGTTTTTCTCTAGCATTTCTATTTTAATATTATTTAGAATGTGCGTTTAGACGACTCTCGTACTGCTGCAATAGCTACTGTCTCCCGATAATACATATATACGATCGATCGCGAACGATTTCAAACTGACCCGATGCACTCGAACACACGTGAGATTGCTAAGTCACGTCGCGATTACAGTCAAGCCAGCCAGCCACGTCAACGCTGTCGCTGGCGCCGATCGATATCGGCATTGATACAGGATGAAGGATAAAGCTATTCGATATACATAGGCATGCGCTTGATTAATCAGTACGAAAACGCTGGTATTGTCAATGCCTCGAATCTGCTCTAACTACGTCCGCGTAAATGTTACGGCCTTGATAACAATCAGGATTATTCTGGCAACTGAATGTACAGCCGGGACACTGCTGCGTTCACTTTGACACCACAAGATTCATTCGCTTACGAACAAGAACGAAGCTATCGGATTATAATTATGATGTGATATTGATGTATAAAATTAAAGCCCATATTTTCCTGCATTATATGAGCGATAATTCGTGAGATTTATAACATAATAGGTTTTTTATCCAGTAATTATACAAATCGCATCGATATCGCATCGACTCTCTCTAGATGGACGATTGCGATTCGAACGTAACAAGCTACGACATGAGCGATTAATACACGAGTTATTCTTTCAGCATGCGATTACAATCAAGGGTAAACGAATAGTAATGTGACACAAAAATACGATGTTACATAAATGTTTTATACCGAGAATACTGAGTGAGATATTATAGTCGCAAATTCACGAATCAAATATGTGCGCGGATATAAGGTCGCGTATCTTTGTATCACTCTCGTCTATCACAACTTCCCGTATCCCCCTTTTTTACGGCTCGTAAATACGATACTCAGGCAAAAGTAGGGAGATCAGGGATGAATTTAGCACGCGAGTGATGCGTAAAAAAAGGTACATCACTTACAAATTTATTTTCTGGAGGGTACAAGCGGATGTTGAATAATGGCATTTCATCAGTGTAAAAGCGGATGTTGAAAATTTCAAAATATCCACAATTGTTGAATAAATGTTGGAGGGAGACTCGAATTCAAAGTCTCTACATTCTCCTTCCAACGATTATTAATCTTTTTGTAATTTATATGAGAGGCAGATCTCTAAAAAAACTGCACATACTTTTGCCTATTATAATAAGAGTATACCAAGCTCAATATTTCGTGAAACCTAATTATACACACACAATGAAAGCAAACGGATATGAGTAACATGGCACGTAAACAATGCGAAATTTTATTCCCCTCTCTGTTTCAGATGGCATTTAATGTTACGAGCGAAACGAGGAGGCTTCATCTATCGCGGAGATTTATATATTCGTGCGTGGGAGCTACAAAGCGAATCTCGTCAAAGGGCTCATCAACATCAACGGAATCTCTGTATATCGGTTAGTAATTTTGGCATCGCATGGTGTTGCGTGTACAGAAGCAAACTTTCGTGTAAATTTAGTTTGCTATTCCTCTCATTACCATCTGCTATCTTTTTGCGATTCTTCAGTCGCGTCCAGTTCCGCTATAATTCTAATTAAATAAATATAGTTCCGTTTAATCTTTTTCCCCTCTGTTTCTCATTTTTTATTCTGGTCTCGTTTCTACGGCAATTTAATTGGCTCGGGCACGACTTGTTCCACTCATTAAAAATTTTAACCGTTAAAACTTGCGCATTTAAGCACACATTGTCCTTTTACCGTTTTGTATGAACTAAATCGCTTTTATAATTATCACGTGCCTATAATAATTGTGAAAGTATTCTTTTGCATTTATAAACCAATTTCAAAGATAATCGGATATATTTCTGAAGTCACGCAATCAAAAAAATGCAATCTCTACATTTTTATTTAAAAATTAATATATATACAAAAGAATCCATATAGACATATGCATATAATTTTAAATTGTGATTATATATAATTATAAGCCATCGTGACGTGACAGATTTGGAATCATTAATTTCTACATTGATAGACAAAAAAAAAAACAAATTATATTTAAAGGTAAAAATGTGTTTAAATATTGTAAAATATTTTTGTTCTCCATTATTTCGCTTACTTTATACATTAAATAAATTCGTGTAGAAAGCAGAATTAAAGGCATTGCCATAGATATCTGTGTATTACGTATATACGTGCAAAAGTAGCGTCAGCCGTAGCTGGAAACATGACGTGCACAGTAAGTAAAGTTTGCTAAAGTTTCATAATTTTGAAACTGCATTTAGTTCAACTAGAAACTTGTGCGTTCAAACTGATATTCGCCATTAATACTCTCATCGCTATTCAAAAGCGATAGCACTGATTAACTAAAGCATTTTATTATTACCATTTACTATTTAACTCTTTCTCTCTCAACTATATATCCCTACAACAACCGTGTCATATTACAGTCAATATTAATTTAGTATGTATATAATAATGCTTTGTTCTCTCTCTCAAAGCAATTTACATTTATCCTAACTCTAGAGTATAGTCATACACAATCAGACGCAGAAATTATCATCCATACGCATACATTGATAATCAGCAAATCACAGAGAGGTCGCAAATTCCGCTCGAGCATAGGTAATTGTCTGTTGTAGGAGAATGGATGTTCGAGACCGCGCGTAGCCAGTGTGTCGGTGCAGCTCGAACAAGACAGCAACAAGTCGGAGCAGCTGCAGCGAGCGCCGCGTTGCAACGTGCGCACTTGCAGACAGCCAAGAAAAGGGAAGGCGAGGGTGACCGCGCCAACCCTGCTCGTACAGAATTTCCTGGAGACACTTTAGTCCACGCCAATCGGGAAAACGGCTTTGTCTCCTGTTCGTTCATCAGATGATAATCGGTCGTGGAAGATGAAGAGAGGAGTGCAGTTCTAACCGTAGCAGCCTCCGTGATGATCGTCAGCGACGAAGAGAGTCCTATTATAGCGGAATGCCTGAATATTTTTCGTATGCCGTGTTTGTGTGTTATCTGGGACCGCAAGCTCGACCTGTCGCAGATCATTCATGATATCGAAACGGAGGAAGGTATGCATGTATCATTGTTATAGTTTATATATGTATCCTGGCGTTCTTCGTGGCATCCTGGTTATATCGTCGATCGGATAACGATGGTCGCGATCTCTTCAAAAATAACGTCGCTGACGGGAATAAAAAGAGAAAAAGAAAAACACAAATGCCTGCCCTGTAGATAATTTTGCGGCTTTGAATGTAAACAAAACGTTTTAAAATTGAATAACCGTTCAGGCCAGGACAAATGACAATGTGTGCAATGATGAGAATTGAATGCTAGCATTAAACTCCTTGAAAATTATTTTGCCACTTTTAAATTTATCATAAGGATACTTAACGAGAGAGGACCAAGGGAGATTCGAGCGAATAACTGTGTGCGACATACTAAGCGGAGTTTCTCGCGTGTCGATTAAACGCATAATCAAGATATATGATATAAAATCATGTGCGTCCAGCATGTGTCTGTCTACACTTTCGAAACGGGATAATTGTAATTGGTAATATAGTTACATGTAGTATGACGTATTTCTATAAATATTTGCTGTATCTCGTGTGTGCTTTCAACGTTTTTTATGATGTCTGTTTCGATGAAGTGATAAAACTGTCATGTTATACATATACACAGCTTTTTATTAAACAATATCAGAGAAAAAAATTGAAAATTATATTTGTGAAAAATATTTTGACGAAAGAATTTCAGTGAGTAATTTAGCAAAACTATATAATCATCAAGAGAGAAAAATATTTAATATGTAAACTAATATTATCATGTCTCAAAAATATATAAATAATTCCCTTGTCACAAGGGGAATTCATTATCAGGGGTCTGCTTGAGAACATAATATGAGTACATAATTTTTATTAGCAATATACACGATAAAGATTGAACATTCATCGAGATATACATTATATTTTTTCTGCCGCTTATGTCAACGATGGTAAAAAAAAAAAAAAAAAAAAAAAAAAAAAGAACGAGAAATTGTAACGCCAAATTTTATTTTACTGTCATGACAATGACAGTGTGTAGCACAATACTCTAGATGAATATATATATATATAAATATATACTTTTAAGAATCTTTCTCGGATCATTCTTTGTGTGCCTCTCTCGTAGAAACGCAATTTTACGCACGTAAATACACGGTGCCAATACTAGGGTAATGAATGTACCACTAATCTGCGGCGTTTGGTATGGCTTTTGTATATGGAAAAAAAACAGAAACAATTTTTTTTCAAAGAGATATACATTCTTCGATGAGCTTGGTATGGCAACGTTATGCTGCAAGTACATCGTAAAGAAGACAGTGAGTAAAGCTTCTTTCAAAATTTATTAATTTATTATAAAAGCAATTAATTACAGTATAAAAACTTATACATGTATGTAATCAGCATTTAATTACTGCTCTATAGAATATTTTGATGTTTAAAGTTAAATGAGTTTAGAGTTAAATGATTAATATCAAAATTATATATAACTACACAATAATTAATATAAAACTGTCTAGAGGTTAAATAAAATATTGTTGATAACTATTTTTGGCAGTTTGCAAAATCGATAGATTTGTTGCAATTAATAATTTATTACATAACTAGCAAAATAAATAAAATTTAATTTATTTCCCATTAACGTAATATGATAAATTTTTGTTATCTGCACGTCGCTTTACGAGTACTTGCAAAACTTTGCCAAAAATTATGAAGACCAATGTACATACCTGTATACAGAAAAAAAATATGTTACATCGAAAATTTTGGCGATGTTGCTTATTAAACTTCTCTACTATAAATTATTGTCATGTGTAATATTATTATAACAAACTCGAATAAATACATTTTGGCCATCTGGTTACAACGGCCTATGGTACTTTGCAGAACACTGCGGATAGTGGGAAAAAATGCAACGAAACGTGGAGATGAGAATGAAACATGAGATCTAAACTATAATGGTGTATGGAAATGGCAATGCATATGTATGAAGTTATATTTTCAGTTATTATACCGTTCTTTCCACGGTTTTTGTTTGATATCCGCAGAGCAGGGATATTTTTATTTGAATATTTCTTTTTAATATTGTTAATGTTGAATAAAATACCTACAAAATTTTTTGCTTTAATTACACCAGAAAATTAGAACATTTCTTTCTCAATCATACTTAATGTTTTTAAAATTATATTTTATAAAGAAAGTTAAATATATATATTTAAATTTTGTATTATATTATATTTTATACATAACGTTTGATTAATTGTAGAAGAATTTAATTAAAAAAGTTAATGTAATAAAATTATACGTTAATCGGCCAGCGTCAGTCAGAATTGCATAAATTTTGCACAATATATCATATTATCATTACAATCAGGAGATGAAAAATCTCAAGCTTTCCCGTAAGAACCGTACGGATGAAGCTAAAATAGAGGATCATAGGAGAGTTGCTCATTAGCTAAGGTAAGAAACAAAATACTTGCAAGTTAATACGTTTAATACGATAAATGGAAGTGAGCCGAGTATTCTATTTTTCGTACACTTAAGCCTTAGGCATTTTCCCAATTTTAAAGAAAATAAGCATTTAGCACCACGTATATTTCATTATAAATTCCTTGAGGTAGTATAGCTGCATAAATAAAATTATATTATCGCCATGACAAATACAAATTTATATTAGTGAAAACAATTTTGTGATATTTCGTAATGGTCGAACGTCGAAAAAGTGGAACTTACATACACACATTTAATTATTTAAAAATAATTCTTAATTCATATAGCATATAGGAATTGAGCCCCGTACCATTCATATAAGTAAACGTCAGCAAATAGATTCAATTGCAACATCTTTCATTTTTACCATGTATGTATATATAACAGTCTTCTTATTAGGACGTTTGGCCGATCGACAAATCCAATTTCTGATTAGTATTATCATTATACGAACGAAATTAACGGGTAGAATGTCAACAAGAGCTTAGCGTTATCCGCTCAATAGCAGACGATGACAAAAGCTCTCTTTAAAAGGAATACAAAATTGAAAAATTTGCGGTATTGATATGCAAATTCGGTACCAGAAATTGTACGCGGGCCGTGTATAATTAGCCGCAATTTGATTAGTCTAGGTTACAACTTGATAGACTAGTTTGTATATCTAATTACGATATGTTATTACTCATATTTATTGTGAATACAACAACTATAAATTATCATAATAAAGTGTATGTTTATACATATACCTATATATGTTTGATTTATATGCTGGCATCCGACCATCGCTAATATTAGCGTTTCCAGACTACCTACACCTACATATAATCAATTATCCAGTTTTCCCCGGTTTAATTATGGTCGTCCGGCCAAAATTGCGGTTTCATTGACCAAGCTACAGTAAATTTACAGATCTCCCTTCCTTTCACAAGTTTGGCAAGAATAGATCGACAAACTTTAGCTAGGGAGAGCTAACATAACTATAATTTTCATTAAGTGCGTAACGTGTTTGTTATCGCAAACGTGATAATAGATCGCAATAGCTATGGGTATATACTTACTAAAATCATTCATTTAGTATCGTTTATCGCCATTATTTTTAATGATTTGTAAAAAAAGAACTGTGCTTTTATTTTTATACCATACAAATATTTTTATTTGAGTAAATTACTTACATCAATTATATGGCGCGCGGGCATTTGACTTATTTAAATAAATTTCAAGTGCCGTTTAAATAAATTTTTATCTTATTACAAAGTCTGAGCGTGCATAAGACATTTTTATAACAAAATAATAACCTTTGCCGAGCGAAAGAAATAGTTACACGCGACTCATTTCATGATGAACGAATATACGTGTGCATTTGGTCGGTACATACATATCTGAGCAAATCTACTGTGCGCAGATGATTTTGAAGAGTCTCTGGCATTATGTTTAGTTCACAATGAGCGCGTACTTGCACTCTCACCCCATAGTCGGCAATGCCTGGAAATAATGGAGCCCGCCGCAATGCAGAATTTCGGTGCCCGGTAAGTATCGTGTAATTTTAACGGTAATTGCTGGCGGTTTAAACGTTCCGCACTTGAAATAGCCCTTATTCCGCCATTGCTGTGAGATGTCGACATAAAGGGTGAATAAAGATTGACATTTTGAATTTTATATTATATTGTCACAAATATTTTTGTTTGCTATGTGTTTCGTCATCTATTTAAAAAAGCGCTATTTACATAGTAGCATCTCTCAACTTAAGATAATTTTCTTACGTCGAGAAACTTTCTATGCACGACCTCGGATAATATTTTGTAAAAGGAATTGTATGATCATGCTGCGCGCATTTTAGTCACGTAGAGTTAATAAATTGCTCCTTACCGGAATCTTTGAACCCGCGTAAATTTCTTCTTTCGTTAGAACGTTCTTCCGTGCCATTAGAAACACGTACCGACTCTATAGGCAGTGACAATTATTTATTTATTTTCTTTTTTACTTTACGTTTGATTGATTCGTATATAGCTCCACAACTCACTGCTTTTATAGCAAGATATGCGAAAGCATCCATAAATGCATTGTGCACCGAGCCGAGAGTTTGATTTACATTGCGCGAAAGTCGGCTATCACGTTTTCGATAGGCGGATTTGCCGATAATGGCACACGGATCTGCATGATCCGGGAGCCACGTGGGAATACGAATCCGGACATTATCCTGGCGCATCGTGACAGCTCGGTAACCCAGAACGGATGAATGTACGTCCCGTTGCATCAAGTGCGGTTACGTGATCTGTATTCGCCCAACGTCCTGGGAACGACGAGGGCCATGCTTTCCCCATGTCTAATGAATCCTTTGCCTAAAGCTCCAGATCTTTGAAATGTTGACTGTCCAATGGGATGCAGCCGACAGCTAACATCGATAATTGATATCAAATTCGTGTATGGAGGTAGACAATGGCCATCGATTGAGAATTCGCGCTTCCATGTCGAATATTATGATCTCGATACATCCCCTATACTCGCGTCAGCCGTTAATCTTATCGATATCTCCAAAAATTATCCGATTAAATTATTATTTATATACGGGCGCGATGTTATTTATGCACGCGCTCGCGCGGAATCCTTGACAAGTCGTGCTATTATCTTCGTGTAAAATGGATTTACGTACGAATACAATCGGCCGGTTAAATTAACGACCTTCTACTTTCCATCCTGTACATATATACTCCGTTACATACATATATACTCGTGATGCATCGTCCTTATGATAAAACTCTCCCGGGAAACGTGCACGTGAGCCGGGATAAAGCGTCGCGATATTAAAACGCAACCGCGCACGTATAGGCGTTTATTTTTATTTACCTTACCGGTAAAAAATCCTGTAAATCGCGACGCATTAGAGCCACGTAGGGACAAGTTAGCCATATTGGCGCGAGATGAGGAATCTTGGTACGAGAAGCGCGGATGCGAGAGACACACATATGTACTGCGCGTTCGCCAGCGCGCACTAAGTTATTGCCTTCTTTTATTATCGTAACGTTCCTACGTGTATCGAATACGCACGTTATTTGTCGGCCACTATACCCCCCGAGGATCTTTATTCGCTCGACACCGTTTTATTTCTATCGTAAGGACGAGAGAGTAAACGAGCGAGCGAGCAGACCGAAAAACGACGACGCTTTCCTTTTCCGTCGCAATGATAGCGTCCTGAAAGGTATATGGCAAGAATTTTCAACGCGATGGGTGAAACGCGAATGCAACGTAGAATATATCTGAAAAAATCCGCTCAAAGCTGTCTTATAAATCGATATTTCGGGGAGCCGATTACGATGCCCGAAATGTTTTTGCACGTCGTCAAATGTGCGCAAACATTCGATAAAATAATATGCAATTGTAATTGCGAGGTAAAATTTATTATTTTAACAAAATTTACAATATGCAAATCTATTTTCAATATTAATGTCGATTACATTGCTGTGCTATAAAT